CCACTCGAACGAGTGGCTGCGCAAACATGAACCCCTCCTCTCGGAATATTCCTCGCTCGTGTAATTCCTTTCGGCGGTTAATTGGCACTTGATTTTCGCACTGACGATTTTGTCTCAGCGCACTGTCGTTCTTGCGTCATCCCTCTGTGCCACTCGACGTGTAAACGATGCACGCGGCTGCACGCAACTTTCACAGCCGCCGAGAATTATTTTCCGCACCAGATACGGGAGAGCACGATCGATCGCAGAAACTTGTACCCCTCATCCTCCTCGCGGCTCATAGCTTTGTATGGTTTTACACGGTGTCATCCTGTCACGAAATGTCATCCCGGTGGCTTTCCCAAAATTGGCGAAGTATTACTACTTCTCTCTCTCTCTCTCTCTCTCTCTCTCTCTCTCTCTCTCTCTCTCTCTCTCTCTCTCTCTCTCTCTCCTCTCTCTCCTCTCTCTCTCTCTCTCTCTCTCCTCTCTCTCTCTCCTCTCTCTCTCTCTCTCTCTCTCTCTCTCTCTCTCTCTCTCTCTCTCTCTCTGTGTGTGTGTGTGTGTGTGTGTGTGTGTTCTGAAAAATGAGAAGCCATTTTCTTTTGTTCGTTATATTTATAAAATTCAGATGCCGAAAATTCATTTTTTGATCAATTTCGATCAGATCTCATAGAGCAAGGAAAATTTAATTGAAAATTAAATTTAATTTGTATTTATTTCATTCTGTACTTCTTTGGGTGTAACCAATTTTATCTCCTCTCCATCTCCACAATTTACTATATTGGTGATTTCGTCGGCTGTTTGCCAGTCAAAGTTGGAATATACTCTCCAAATGATCAGCGAACATATTTCCTTTTTCTCCATTTGAACGCCCCCATGTTCCATCAGATTTTCTTAATGCTTGTACAATTGGATGCTTAAATTTTTTAGTGGCTCTCCAGAATAGTCGCTAGACTTTTCAACAGTGAACTCTTTTAAATATTGACTAACTGATTCATGTTTGAGTTATAAGAGCATTAATACTAAAAAAGCTTCTGGTATCGATCTAATCAATAGAAAAATACTGAAGGAGCTATCAGAAAAAGCGATTGTTAAACTCGCATACTTATTCAATGCCGCATTCCCCTTGAGACATGTCTCAAGGTGTGATGCATGTCAAAGCAGTGAAAAACGGTAGTTACAATGATATCCAAACCTGCCATATCGCTAGAAGAGGTCGATTTTTATAAACCTATTTCGCTACTTCCTACTATTTCTAAATTATTTGAGAAATTGTTGCTAAAATAACTCAACCCAATAATTGATAACAAGCAACTAATTTCATGTCATCAGTTCGGATTCCAAGAAAAACATTCAACAACGGACATCAGGTACACCGAATTACGGAGATTATAGAGAAAAGCCTGGAAGAAAGGAAAATTTGGTCTGCGATCTTTTTGGATATAGCCAAGGCCTTCGATAAAGTTTGGCATCGAGATTTGGAAGTTAAATTGAGAAACCTATTACCTAAAGCATACAGTATGTTCCTGAAATCACTCGGATAGACATTTTTGTATTAAGCAGGGAAATGCATATTACTCATTCCATAAGATTAATGCAGGTGTACCCCAAGGAAATGTATTGAGCCCTGTCTTATACTTGTTATACACGAGTGACATTTCCCAGTATCCTAAAACCATAATAGCCACTTTTGCAGATGATACAGCTATCATATCAAACGGAGCTAATAGAGAAGCTTCAACGAACAGATTGCCAAAGGTTAACAATAGGACCAAAAAACGGCGTATCAAACTGAAGGAAAATAAATCACAGCATGTGAATTTTACAAATTGCACAATCGAATCCCGGATGGTATAAATTGATGGTAAAAAAGTCCATATAAGTAATACAACTAAATAAATATCTGGGCATGACGCTTGACTCTAAATTACGGTGAAAAGAACATGTTACAATATTAAAAGAAAAGAGCTCAAATTCAGTAAAATATATTGACTTCTGGGACGACAATCATAGCTGTCAGTACATAATAAACTTCTGATATATCAGTAAATATTAAGACCAGTGTGGACATATGATGTTCAGCTGTGGGGATGTCTTAAAAAGACTCATATAAAGACAATACAAAAGTTTCAAAACAAGGTATCGCGTTGTACGGTGGATTCTCCAGAATATATGGACTGTCCGCGCCTTGACCTTGGCATCAAGACTGTTCAGGAAGTGATTGAGGATTACGCAATTAAACGAACGACTAACTATCCACAAAAATAAGGAAGTGAGAAAGCTCCTCAGTGCTTCTGAGGACAATTAGACGATTAAAGAGGAAGAAACTTTCGGATCTTATTCTTGGATTGTTGGTAGATACGTTAATTAAATGAACTACTCTGTGAGTGAACACTGATGTTGGTCATTAATCCTACACAAACTGTTAAATATTTTATACTGTTAGAACTGATGCTCGTTACATTGTTTTATGTAGTTGCATTAAACAAATAAAAAAAAATTAATTCGAGCAGTGTTTATACGTATAGTGAAATTCATGACTTTCAAAGTAGATTTTATTAATTTCTTTCCATGTTACGTATATATTACGCGTCAAAGAAAATCATAACCTCATCAATGAAGGATCCGGCTTCGCGTCATCATCAAAGTTATAAACCATTCTGTATTTATACAGAGTAATTGTAATTCATTATAATTACAATTTGGAAATTAACGAAGCAAGTGTAGGCAGTCAGACGAGAAAAGCAATCTCAATTATCAGTGAAACTGACGGCCGATTCTTCAGATTTCCTGGCAGATTCCGTTCGATTGTGATCGAAATGCAGAGAAGCCATTTGCTTCGAAGACGCCGACGAGGATGATCCAGCGTTGTTAACTTCTTAAGTGATAGCAAGCTGTATTACATTGTGGCGCGTTTCTCGATATTAATCTCCCTAAGACGCTCGACGCGCCATTTTGACGCGAGTCTGACGTTAATTGATGCGTTTATCGAAAAGTACCTCGTTCCTCACTCACGCTAAAAAATCGCTAATGATCAGACAAGACGCGGGGAATTTGAACGGATTAAACATTTATCAAGCGTTTATCCGTCTAGACTACCTGCGACATTTTGTACAAAGCGCGGGAGTCCTTTAAGACGCGAGTCCTTTAATAACGATGTCCCGCGAGTTCATCAAAGCGATATTACAAGCTATATCGATATCCAGAGGAAGAATAGCTAATCCTCTCTGGTTCTTTTTACCGGGCGAACCATCGCGATAGAGATCTTCTTATCAAGTCTTTTACCTCAATTAATTTGCACGACGCAAATTGCGAGAAAAGGGCGCTTCTGCTCTTCCTCCTTCTGCTCCTTCTTTGTCACTCGGGAGGGTAGTTTTTACCGTCAATTAGGCACCTTGCTTTAATTCAAATGAGGGACACCTCAATCATATCTGAATGATAATTAACTCTTAAACATTGAAACGCTTTATAAAATATTAAAGCCCCGTACGTTGATTTCTTCTGCTCAAAGAACGAAACAGTCAACGAGAAGATCAAAAAGAGAAAAAGAATTCTAAAAAAAAAGTAATACTCTCCGATTCATTCCTGGGAACTGAAACCGCCGGTAATGTCAGCTTAGAAAAAACGTTCCTTATCACGTTGTATATCGCGATTGTCAGATCTTCACTGCTGTTTTAAGGAACGAGACTCAGCCACACATTTCCGTGTCGCCGGAAGCGTCCTCGAAATGGCCCTTCGTTCGACCGACGCACAATGGAACGTTTGTACCAAAAAGTTGGCCAAAATTATTTTTTTACGAATTTCGGTTCAAAACGTACTACTAAGTATGTATATAATCATTATAAAGATTTCGTATAAGTTTTTCATGAAATAAAGTGCAAATATATATGTAAAAATATTTTAATAATTAAGAAAGCATAATATTATGCATCAATAAGTATTCAATTAGACAAACTCCATTATTTCTTCATCTAATGAGCGTATTCCACCCTCAGAATCAACATCATTTTCATCTATTGAAATATTTCCTCTTCTTGGTGTGGGGTCAGTGAGAAGAAGCATATCCAATATTTCCTTTAAAAATGGTTTAGATTTCTTTCTTGGTATGGGTCTCATATTTGTTTGTTAGTAACGGGTCAGAACTTGGTAGAAGTCTGTTGATTATGTCCATATTTCAAAAGGAAACAAAAAAAGACAAAAAGAAACAAAAGGAAACTTCATGTCTAAATAACCTTTGGGCAAAATCTAATTTACGTTTAGGGAAACAAAAGTAATTACTAAAACTACATCCGCGGTTTTCCGCGGCTAATTCTTTCTGATCTTTTATCCGGAGAGATTACTTTTTCATTTCATCCAAGAAACGTAACAGGATACACCCTGAAGTATCGAGGTAAATCCTTCGAGTTTGACATCGAGAACGCAAAAAGATACATTATTGAATGCTATTTTTAAAATCGTATATCTACGTGAATAACAATTCAATTGTAATAAATCTAAAACGTTTCTTCATACCTTCCTCGAAACAATGCATAACAAAAAATTTCACGCTGCCACTTTTAAGAATCTTAAAATTCTGATCGAAGATAGTATATTATAAAGCGCTGAGAATTGATGCGTGCAATACGAATAATGTCCAAATTCCGAAACCTAATCAAACCACTTCATATTATCGCGGATGAACAAAAACATAGCGGCCCATTATTCCGCAGATATTCAACTGTCTAGGACAGTCACTCACGTAGAGCAGGAATGATTTTAAAAAAATTCATTTTTGGCCAGTTTTTCAGGCCAAAGGCCAACATCCCACAGTACGGCGTTCAGACGATCTATGCAGGGAAGAAGGCAGATATATAAGCAGTCGAGAGGATAAGTGCATGTTAGGTTTTACAGCAAAGCGTGTGCCTAATCGCCCTCGAAGTGTGCGCGTCGCGACGCGTTCGCGTCTGCGCGACATTTGCGCCCCTTCCTCACGGGGGAGAGGGAGAAAGCGAGGGAGAGAGCGCAGCCCCTCTATATATTTCATGGGAACACGAGACTCGGGGCACTCCATGCGTTTTTCACGACGTGAACACCACGAGTTCGCTTGACGACTGCAGACGCGGACGGTGTCAGTTTCACTTGGAGAACGAGCAGGTTCCATCGTAGACGCGGCGCAATGACGAGAAGTGCGTTTACCGGCTCATCGATCGCGATCATCGTCTTCATCGGCGTGACCGCTTACGCGGCGGCCGGACCCGTCCAAGTAAGGAAGTTTCTCTCGCCCTCTTTTCTCCTTAATTTTAATTTCAACGACGCGAAATCGTCCTTTCTCTCACGCCCTTTCTCTCGTTCGCCCATCAGCTGTCGAAATCTCTAATCGCGCGTGCGGAAATTTTTCGAGGACGCGCGTGTTTCGCTTATTTATTTCATCTTTCTTTTCTCGTGACTCGCTTTGCCAATTTCGCCGCTAAGAAGAAAAGGTGCAATTTGAGTGTAATTTCATGTGCGAGTAATCAACCAGTAATCGATCGAACTTTTGCGACCATTTTCTTTTTTTTTCCGTGACGTAATCGCTCGCGCGGAGCGTTTGCTTTGACTGATATTTCTCCGTCCGTACGCTTGCTCGGCAACGCGAAAAACGCGTCCCGAGTTTTATTTCTATCAACGTGTGTGTAGATGGAATTTTAACGAAAACCCATGCGACATTTTTTCTGTGGCGCAACAAAAATTCGATGCATAGCAAAAAGGTTCCTGAATATCTACGTGTCGTCGTTTTTCTGGCGAGTGGCGACAGGCGAGGTGAACAATTCGGAAATCAATTTCTAGTTTTCATTGTAGAAACTTTACTTTGTCGACATTTTTTTGCTCGGGAATTAGTTTCGCGCTCGTGAAGCTTGACCGTATTCGCGCGACACGAAGCTATAAACCTGTTAATGTAAATAATTAATTAAATTATTTAATTAAATGTCGGTAACCGCGACAATTGTAGGATTTCGCAACGAGAACGCACGCCAGCCGCGCGTGGGAACAGCAAACAACAAGGGCGCGAGCTGGCTTGCGCCAGGGTTGCTTGTTTATTTGTTAATCTCGATAATTGTGCATTATATATGAGCGCGCGCGGGCGAAATTGAATTGCGCTTGACTTCGACATCGACATCGGTACATTGTAATTAATTTCGTCGCTGGTAGCTGGCGCCTGCGACGCATGAACGTCCCGATGGACGTAATTGAACGATGAAATGCACGCGCGTGACACTCATTAATATTATTATCTTAATACCATTAATAATTCGCAGGTCGTTAATTAACATATTGCTTATTGATACGATTGTTCCGATATGAATAGCTCATTACTCGGTATGTGACGTTGCCTCAATATAGACTGCAAATACATCGGGCCTCTCGTTACCTCACGACGATAAACGAACTTCGCACACCAGACTTAATGTCCTGCGACGGTCAAGGAGCTTGGTTCGACTTTCCAAATTTCAAATGTTGATTTGTCACATATATTTCATCTCATGTTATTAAAAAGCAACTAATTATTTGAAGACCAAGTGCCCGCTTACCGATGCGAAACTGGCACATCTCAAAAATATTTAATATTTATTATTTCGAAGAATATTAACCCTTATAGTGCCGAACAACGATATATCGTTGTTAGCGATGCGTTGGTGCCTTATTATTCACATCGCGAGAGAACTCTGTCTCAAAATAAATTTATAAAACATTATAAATGGTTGAATTCCTCTTCAGAAGTCTTATGTGAGATGTTCCACGAATTAAAAAAATTATTTATGGGTTTAACTTTCTGTTATATTCCGCGATGCTCCTGATGCTTGCTGCACATCATAGGATTATTATTTAGTTTTGTGTTTTGATATTAGTAATTTTGTTACAAATAATTGAAAGTGCAGTATTTATGCTTTATACTATGTGTTCTGCATCAAACTATGACCAAACGACGATTCTTCTTATTTGCAAATACTGTTTATAAAAAATAATTGATTTCTCCATTTTTCCTAATGATTTTGAATAAACATTATTAGTAAGATTTTCAACAAATATTGAAATACATTTGGCATTAATTTATTCTCCCTTTATTTCGTAATATGTTCCTTTTGAATTTGGTAAATATCATTCTTACTTTTATGTTTATACTTTTTTTCTCAAACCTTATCAAATTACATCAACTTGGTTCGGTATTCTTCGCTTAGGTATAATTCTTTCGATCGGTACTAAAAGGGTTAATGTGTCACAATCGGGTAAGAATTGTTCTCGATTTATTCGTCCATTCGCGGGACAATACGCGACTTCGAGTTCCCGACGACATGTGGTAATCGCGCACGACTGTATTAATGAAGCTGCCCTATGCGCATCAGGAGATGAGAAGGGGGGAGGAGTGGGTGTCAGCCGGAACTTTTTAACGGGGAAACTTTTATGAAGGACAAGCCAGCGTGACAAAGAAGAGGAGAACGTTTACGGCGTCCGTCGTGTAATTGCGGCTCGCCGTTCCGTCCCTCCACTTCGAGGGGTTAGCGGCAATTCGAGCGTCCCGCCGACATTAATCCCGTCCGTTAAATCCTCGTGAGGTTTACCGCCGTGTACAAGGTACCGGATGTTTGTTCCGCGCGCTTCGTCCTGCTGCCGACAATGCGATCCAATTCGAAGTCCGCGTGATCCGCGATCCGCGCTTGCTTTCGCAACTTGTTGCATCAGCGCACGCGACGACCGAAGCGCATAATAGTCCTCTCACTATTATCTCGGTCGCCCTTTCTCATTGTCGGGGATAGGGTAAGTCCAGGGTAGATGGGCATAGTTTTTTTAATTGCAAATAGTACATCTGTATTAATGCGGTAAATGATCAACAACATATTAACATATTCAGTAGAGAATAATGTTTAAGGTATAGAAAAGTTTTTGTGAAAAAGAATTCATGGGACGCCAATAATAACGAAATATTAAAAATATTCTGTGGGGGATAGATGGTCAGGTGTTCAGGTTCAGGTTCAGGTTAGATGGGCATATGTCAAGGGATAGTTGGACATAGGTCATCTCGGTAATGAATTTTTAGGTTAAATACGATGTATTTTAGTCGCTTAAGCCTAGATTTAATGTTGTAACTCAAAATGAACCGTATTCGCAAGGTATTTTTTCGACGTGTGAAACATTTTGGAGGTTAATAACAGGGTTGGGAAAGTTACTTTTTAAAAGTAACTCGTACTGTATAATACGGTTACTGTTACTTTCGGTAAAAAGTAACTCGTTACCGTTACTGTTACTTTCGGTAAAAAGTAACTCGTTACCGTTACTCGTTACTGGTCTTAAAATATAACGCGTTACCGTTACTTGAAAATAACGATATTTTACTTCGTTACTTTTTGTTACTTTTTCTTGTTGTATATCCAGGATTATAAGAAAGATGCTAAGACGAAATATAAATCGGACATAAGATGATTAGAAATATATAATATATATATATATATATATATATTTAAATATTTTTATAATTTTATGTTATTAAGTGTTGTACTTAATGAAAAGTTTCTTAATTAGTAGATATGAATTTAATATTTGGATATTAGTGCCTGTTGACTTCAAAAATCTTTGCCATTCATCATAAGTAGATTCCTCATTTGATGTTTGCTGTTTGAAAATAAAAAAGTCATCGTTATCATCGTGCTTATCAGACATCAAAGAATTTTCAGCTGAAGGAATTCCTAATAAATGTTCTAAATATGTTTGCGCAAGTTTTCGCTTATCTCCGGCTAGCTCAATTTGAATTTGGGGTGCAAACAGCTGGCAATTATCAATTCTTCTTTTTTGAATGTAGTGTACAAAATCTAAAGTTAAATCAATAAAATTAAATATGAACATATTGATTTTTCTTTTTGATCAGATAAATGTTGTTTGATGAACATATATGTTAATCAAATTACACCAATTTACCTTTCTTTTAAACCTTTTTGTATAGCTACAGCCAATGGATGAGTCCATCTTTATTGGTTCTCACTAATCCAGCATAAAACAAGAAATGTATAAAAATTAAATACAATTAAGTTTAATTTTATAAAAATTAAAAAGTGACGATTTAAATAACGGATGTTTCGTTATTTGTTACAAAAAAATATATCGCCGTTATTCTTTCGTTATTGATACAAAAAAGTAACGGCGTTACCTAATCGTTACTCAAAAGAGTTACGATATCAATAACGAAAAAAGGTACGATATCAATAACGGAGTTACAAGTAATGCGTTACTTTCCAATCCTGGTTAATAGAAACATAAAACATTTATTTACTCATAATAACAGAGATTTTGTATATCAGAAAAAACATATCTATTCGTGATACAACTCCTAACCGATTGACCGACCAGTATTGACAAGTTTGACATTTAATATTACTCAAAAATGTACTCAAAAAAGTTACGATATCAATAACGGAGATACAAGTAACGCGTTACTTCCCAACCCTGGTTAATAGAAATATAAAACATTTATTTACTCATAATAACAGAGTTTTTGTGTATTAGAAAGAAACATACCTATTCGTGATACAACTCCTAACCGATTGACTGACCAGTATTGACAAGTTTGACATTTAATGTTAGGTACTAGGGAAAAATGACAGTCGAATAGGTATATATACAGGGTGCTAAATTTCAAACGTAACAGATAAAAAATTTCGAAAACTATGAAAGATATTAAAAAAAGTTAAAACACGTGTTCCATGAGTTCGAAGGGGAAAGAGAATGGCATTAACAGTTTTTTATGTGGAAGGCACTTTCAAGGTCAGTTGAAGGTCGACTTAATTTTTTTAAATGGAAAGCCCAATTTTTTATTATATCTTCTTTTTCTATCAATTAATTTTAACAACTTTTGTCTGAAATATTTTTTTATTTGCCTAATAAGTTTTGAAATATTTAAGGAAAACTTGGTAACTTTTTCAACATTTAATTTACGATATCTCGTTAACTATTCGTCGAAAGAAAAAATAGTATTAAATTTTTTACTTTATTTACTATCAAGAATATATTACTATAATAGTGCCCTAACTTTTGTTAATTTAATAATTTTGAAATTTCCAAAGGTCGATAAGTTGACAAAAGTTAGGGCAGTATTATAGAAATATATTCTTGATAGTAAATAAAGTAAAAAATTTAATACTATTTTCTCTTTCGACGAATGGTTAGCGAGATATCATAAGTTAAATGTTGAAAAAGTTACCACGTTTTCCTTAAATATTTCAAAAAATGTTAAGC